ACAAAATTGTCACAAGAGGGTCTTGTGTTTCAATTCTGTATTCTAATCACAATCAAATCAATAGTTGAAATCATGAATCGATTGAAGCTAGACCACCATGGGAAACGTGGAAACACTGGACGGCCGTTTCAACCTATCTTGAAACTCCTCTGCAGTGAGCATTTACGACCCTGCCTCTCAGGATTTGAACCCAGATCCTATTGGTCTCGCATACGAGCGCTTAACCACCTGATTCATGATCTCAGCTATTAAAATTACTACAATTTCCACAAAATCTCTTCTAATACAATCAAATCAATTAAATGCAGGTATAAGAATTTCAGGCTAATAATACTTGCCTTAATTTAAATTTATAAACATAACAAGTAGACTTTTTTCTTATTAAATGTAATTTCTCAATATAACACTTTTCGAAGTTAACAATTATTTCCAGAGTAAATTGCATTTTGTACTACGTAAATGTTGTTCGGGTTGTTATCATTAGGTTTTCATAGTAACGAACTAATTATGAGTTAATAACAAAAAATGTCTCTGAATTAATGATAAGAATTAATATTCAGCTTTGCTCTTAGATAACAAATTATAAGACTGTGTCATTACCGACAATATTTAAAGTAGTGATAACTCCAAGAATTTAAAACTCTTAATTCTCAGAATGTCTTCTATAACAAATAACCTAAGTAACTTAACTATTAGAATTCAACAAGTAAATTTATATTGAAATTACGTTTTCTGATAATCTATACATCATTTCTTTATGATATTTCCATTTAGTTTTCATGTTAATATTATGTTAAGTAAATAGTATTACTCCAAACAGTCAGTATTAGTTGACGTATTCTAAATAGATAACAGTTTAACATCGATTATGATAATCTCATCCACTAATAATTATGGTATATTAAAATATAAATAAACGTTCGATTCTAATTTTAGTCATATCTTTATATTTACTTATGAGTAGGCTGATATCCCATATGTTTGTTGAAAATAATTTCCTTATCCTATTACATAAGATTCATGAAATAAATAATGACATCACTAACTTTAAACAAATTAATGCAAATTATTAGTTGACAATTATCTATTTTTATCAATGACTATCACATGATTCAATATTGTTTATTATTGTTGATAATCCAGTTGTTTCTGTTTCTTTTCGAATACATGTGATTGTTTCTAGTTATTTTATGCAATACAATGACTCGTTGAAATATCATAGCATCTAGAAAATGTCATACAGTAATCATTTCTCTATGTACATATGAAATGGATTACTATGAAAGTAATTATTATCACCGACAAAAGTTACTTAAAGATTTATTTAATATAAGAAGGTAATAAAACAATTGTTCGTCAATATGCAAAGATGGATGGTGGCTAGCAGTGGAATTCAGGAAGAGCGTTTCATCCTATTTGGAACTCGTTATCTGAATGTACCTGCATTCCTAAGCTGATGTTTACTCCATGACTGGAACCCAGTACCGTTTGCTTTAAACGCCATTGCGTTGTTCACTTAGCTACTGAGTCCTGATAACCACTTGTTTGTGCAATAAGGTGAAGTTTAATGCGCACAATATCCACATATACCAACAAGTGACTGATCAATCGCAGTCCTAAACATCAATTGGAAGATTCAAACAAATAATACCAAAGTAAATTTAATTGTTCTCTTAGTTGGCTACTATCCAATAAGACAGATTCAGTTTTTAGTGCAGCATCAAAGAGTTATTTCAATTAAAGCATAAAAATGTCAAAATGAATTTAAATTAATTTAAAACGAAGTATGAACCAACATTAAAAGATTGGGATTAATGGTATAAAAAGGGTTTGCTTGAGTCGATGGTTATAAAGTTCAGAAATAAACAGGATTATTTTAGTTGAGATAACCATATATTGAGTAGGATAGCTTATTATTAATTTTTTTTAAAAACTACTCAGAAAGATTATTTTATTTATTTTATTTATTTATTATTTTGTTTCAATGGTTAAGATCATGAGTCAATTGAAACTAGACCACCATGGAAAACCTGGAAGCACTGGACTGCCGTTTCGTCCTAGCTCCAACTGACTCATGATCTTAACCGTTGAAATTACTATAATATCCACAAAACCAATGTGATATTATTTTTGTTGTTGTTACTGTTGTTCTACTTTTCAAAACCTACATTCATATCGTGTTTCGTGATGTCTTACGAAATGTTTTTTGTTCTTTAATATTTCACTAGATGAAACAAAATACTGATATTGACGGTATTAAACTTGAACTACTCAATGTGACGAAATAAGTAGGGTACCTTCCCAATTATGCCTCTGAAATGATTAAATAAAATGAGAATTTACATAATTTTGTATGTTTTAGATTTTCGTGCAAAAAGACTGCCAAGTTTAAAATCTAAAGGCAAAGCAAATATAATACTAATAATTATCATTCCACATCACATCAGTAAAGACTTGTGTGAGTGGCGTAGAAATCTTGTTCACTAATGTCTTTTTATGACTAGAAATAGTTACTCATCAAACAAATATGGAAAACAAGATGAGCCAGTGATAATATTATGTATAGTACAAATAATTAGATCTATCCACTATCAATAAGAACTTTCGTCTAAATTTGAACGAATAGTCCAAACTTGTACCAGATTGCCAGGCGAAAAGTTGGATTTACTTTAAATTCTTTCGCTGAGATTTTACAAATACATTCCTCCTCTTTATCCACTATCAACTTTCACAATATTTATAACGTCATAAACCCACTATTGTGATGACTTTAACAATAAACCTTTTACAGGATATCATCTGTTGCAAATTGAGTTAATCGTTTCATGATTTAGTACTAACATTCAGTACGTAATACGAAAATTTGAATTTCATTAAACCAAACAATCACATCCAATAAACTTACTAGGTAAACTTATTTTTCTAAACACTAAAATGCTTTTTTCATTCATAGGAATTATAGAATAACATTAAAGAATTATAAACAATTCATTAAACCAAAATCTACCACATGAGGAAAAGATCAAAATAACTGCATTTTACACTCTCATTAATACATTCTAGACTTGAAAGGGTCATTCATTAAAAAAAAGAGTGACCTTTTATTTTACCCATCAAAAAGTACTTGTCTAAAATTTCGTGGAAATCATTTATTTAAACTTATGTATTTTATTCTTATCAATAGACAGACAATATTTATCTTGATGGATAAGATGTCCAGAAATTCAGCTTGTTTAAATTAATATAAAATTATCATCATAAAAAAAGACAGATCATTTATAACTAACTTCTGTTATCTATTTCATTACTATCTAAATAAATCAAGTAGACAAGATGATAAAGTTATTCAGTCTTCAAAGAGCATAGTCAAAACGATTGTCATTAAATGTGAATGTAGATAAATTCATTAGTATGATTTCTATGGCTGACCTACCAGACAATGATAAATAATATAGATTTTTATGAGTAAATGCCTTCGTAAGTTTTGTAAGTGTTTCTGTATAAGTTGACGAAATTTTTCATCATCATCATCATATTCAATATCAAGTGAATAATTATTAAAAATTGTATACTATTAAACATCTGTTTTGTCTCAGCTTACAACTTTTCATTTAAAGTAGATTCATGATTGAAATAACTTAAAAATATAGAAAACAAAACTTCAGAAACTGACTTAGTTTAATGATGATCGTGAAAGTAGTAATAATTAAATTCTAGCTAGATTTTAAAAATTTTTTTAATAAAGTCAACAAAGTATAGAGATAATGTACTGCGTGCTACTTATATTGATATAAGTAGTATATGATGCGAGTCAGGAATGTAATATCTGGCACCAGAAGATGGGGAAGATCAAGAGAGGAAGAACGGGAATAGAAAGCAATTAGTATGGAAATGCAAGAACAATGAAGTTCGAGACAATTATCGGACATTTTGCAAATTAAGTATTATAGTATGATTTTTCTATTTTACCAAGTCACTCTGTAATTTTGTACTAAATATAGTTCGATTGTTCCAACCCTTGTTCTGTTCACTACAATAAGACAGCGATTAACTAATAATATTTTATTAGAATAGGATAGTATCACTAATAGATTGAGATTGAATGTATAAATTACCGAGTCCTAATTAGGCAGTTTAAATAAATTATACTCATCCCAAAGCTTAAAAACATTATAGCTGAACTATATTCATAGTCTAATGAGTGCAAACTGATAAGGAGTCAAAATCAGGTAGAAATATCTACCAAGTGCTCTTCATTTTTTTATTGGTGTAAACATCAGATTTCGATAAGCATTAACTATAGGTCACTTATGTTATAATATGTTATTATTTTGAATATAGCTCAACTTGGTTTCTAACACAGAATAACTTCTAAAGAATAAGTAAAATTGGCTACATTCGAAATCTTGCGTATATAAGCATATTGTAGTTTGTTTCTTTCTATATGTTTAAACATGAAACTGTTAATCTTTGTTAGATAAAGTAGGTTTTCCTCCTAGTTTTACAGGTAAACTATCTTCTTTGAAATCACTTATACCGTATGCCTTTACCTATAGGTAGTTCAATATCTTACCATACTTGGTTTACCCTTAATTGTAAGGATCTATTTTCAAGCTTTTTCAAGGAAAGTTCTTTAAACAAGAAACTAAACATTTTTCCAAACTTTATACAAGATATCGTAGTTAATTTAAAATGAACGATTTGGTTCTTTTCAAATATAATCTAAGACTAAACTTCAATCATTCTATTAATTTCAAAATTCGGCTTTCTACACAATGCTCCTTTATTTGACTAAGAAAGATTTTTAGCGTTGTGCAAAAGCAATGGTCCACTTTTCCTTAAAATAGGATCGCTTATACCATGAAGCTTAAGTACAATTGTTGAGTTTCCTCTTATAATTTTTAAGATTGTTATGTGAATCCCTCAACATTGTGCCTGAACAGAGTTCAGATATCATGATAAAATAGAGCAGCAGCACATAATCTGTAATAATTACTTACTTACGCCTGTTACTCCCTCCCCGTGTGAGAACATAGGCCGCCAACTGGCATTCCCCATCCAACTCTGTCCTGCCCAATCCTTTCCAGTTCTTTCCATATGCTATTCATACTTTTGATGTCTGCATCCAATTCTCGACGCAGTGTATTGATCGGCCTTCCTATTTATCGTTTCCGTTCAGGACTTCTAGTTAGCGCTTGCCTCGTAATGCAGTTTGGTGGTTTCCTGAATGTGTGTCCAATCCACTTCCCACGTTTTTTCATAAGTTCCTCTTCAGGTGGAAGTTGGTTAGCAGTCTCGTCTGAATCCCCACCTTACTTGAAATGCGTCTGTCAGCTGTGTACCACGCACTAGTTTTTAGTATAGTTGATCTCAAGAATTCCCCATAATGTTAATGATTTTCTCAGGCATTTTACGTAGCCTAGTGATATTATAGGTTCTAAGAGCTAAACTACCAAACGAAACTGATGCATCAGTAATATTAATTAATTAAACTTCTTTGTAGTTATTTTCTAATATATCGATAATATGATAGCATTGTTCTTAGAATTTGTACATTATATGTATATACAGTGAACTATTAAGCAAATTAACTAAACATTATGAACTATTAGGAAGTGTCTTCAATAAATTCCATATGATTGGAAGATTGTTTTCGATAAGGTAAAAAGAAAAGTTAGAATTCAATTGACTTACTCATTATGAGTTTTGTTCAAAATTAATTCCGTTTTGATTCAATGCAATGATCATTCAATGTAGTCTTTGTTTTCTTTTCTCGTTTGATATTTTATTCTGTATAATATGCGATATTCTTATATTCCATTGACATGAACTATGCTCACTATGTGCTTTGTTATAACTCATATGTGATTTCATCCTAATTATTAATCACAATAGGTGTACAATCAATATATAAATGAGTGTATTTTCGACTAGAGTCGTCAACACTGTCTGGAATAACATTCCTTTCACTAGTCTTCTGTCTTCTCATTGCAACTTAGAAGGGTTCTAGCATTCTAATGCTCAGGTTATACATGGTATATCAAGAATATAAGCTCTAGATATAACAGTTTTAATTGTAAATTAGCACTATCTTAAAGAGTATTTCTTTCAAATTGTACATTTTTTTCCAGAACCTCTGACTGATCCATAATTATTTATGCAATTATGACTAACAATGAAAAACATTTCCAAATATTTCGATTAAAAAACAAACAAACACTTACCAGTAAAAGTATAATAAACTGACAAACTACTGAAAAGAAAAAGAAACAAAAGCTTTATGGTAGCCTTGATTTCAAAAGAAAAATTCATTTCTTCTAAAGTATATTAATGAATCATAGTTCTTATCAAAAATAATAACCACATATTTCATGTATCATTGTGTTTCTCAATTAATTTACAAACATAGAGTTGTCAGTTCTATCAAATAAAATGCGCTTATTGGATTGATACAAATCAAAATTTGACAGTAGAAAAAAAATTTCATCTAATCAATATTATTCTATCTTGTTTATAACAATCCTTTTTATTGGTATCCACTTTTATTTTTCCAATATAAAATTCACTGTATATTTGTAAAAGTAAACAAATCATTAATATCAGGAAGAGTTTGTAGTAATTTCAACAGTCGTGGATGCGCGCTGCTGAGAAGTCCCACAATAGAACGAAACGGCCGTCCAGTGCTTTCAGGTTTTCCATGGTGGTTTAGCTTCAATTAACTCGTGATCTCAACTGTCGAAATTACTACAATCTTCACAAAACCCCTTCTGATACTAATCAACATATGCTCACCAGTGACTGGCTTCAAGTTGCAAATCCTGGAGTTCTAGTGAGAAGCAGTGACCAGTGGAGTTCAACTGGGTCAGTTGTGAGATATTAACTCACTGATGACACTGGTGGATATGTCGCTCAATTTTGTGAATTGGTTGAAGTTATACATTAACACTGTTGGATGCCGGCCAGCTCAGTGGTCTAGTTGTTTAAGCGCCTGGGTTCGAATCCCGCTAGGAGGGGTCTTGGACGCCCACTACTGAGGAGTTCCACAATAGGACGAAACGGCCGTCGAGTGTTTCCACGTTTACCATGGTGATCTTGCTTCAATTGACTAATGATCTCAACTGTTGAAAGTAAACAAATGAATTGATACTCAATTGAGTCATTTTCTATAAAATGTATATTAATCAGTTATTAATTGACCAAAATCTAGATGTAGACATTTTTTTGTCTTTCCATCATTCGAGATCCTGTCTTCTACTTACATTTAAATATATGTAGTCTATATACATGTGAACTTTCCATTTCGAAGAAAATAACTAAATATAAGAATAGGAAAAAACTGGCTATCAGGTATTTGTTTTTTTTTTCTACTCGGAAAGCGCACTTCATATCTTCACTATGTAAGTGTACAATTTTGTTTAGCCTATATGTTCTATGCTTCTTTATCTTTAGGAAATTTCTTCACATTTACAGTTCCCTCAATAGTCCATGATACTATTTCTATTTTGTGTTTTGTTTTACAAAACTGAATTTACAATATGATTGACTGTCTTAATTTTGTACTTGTTTTCATTTAACCTAGTTTAATACAAAATGATGACTAGCCGATTTCTTAAAATTGTGCGAAAAAAACAAACGAGAGTGATCATAGAAAGGTCAACTAAATAATATACATATGTACGATAACACTTTTTTTCCCTACGCTCTATTTATTAACTAAAGAAAGTATAATTTTGTCTTGCCTTGTCCTCATTTACTGACTACATTTAAAATGTTATACGCAGTAATATAATACGATTTCTTTACCAAAATGTATGATATTATGATGTTTTCTTGTCTTATTCTGTCTTTTCTTCTTCGGTTCTTTTATCTGTCTTGGTCGTTTGTTGTTTATGTCTGGTAACTTTTTTTGTTATTATTTGTTACTTAAATTTGGCACGTAATAGACAAAAACTAAGTTTCATAACATTATTACTTAATTAGTGCTTTGAAAAATAAACATAGTCTTGTATTCAAAAGTATGAATTACATAGACGAAAGATGAAATTACGAAGAACAAGAAATCCGCAGATAATTATGAATGGTTTATCACTGTGTTGATACTTGATCGAATCTTATCAATCAACTTGCAATATGGTCACTAATCTATGGGACTAGATATCGTGTTTACTATACTGAGGTGTTAGGTAGTAGCCGGTAGGAAACCCAACTGTCAACTACATCCAACCACCTAATAAAATAGGAATGATGATTGAATAATGCGATGAAGAAGTGCATGTTCACTAACTTTTTATGTATAAAATATATTCAAAAAGGATAAATATCATCTATGATGATCTAGTTTGTTTTATTTACCATACAGTAATATGTGACTTAGGAAAATAGCCTATTTTATTATTTGCGCTTCTTCGTTCTATTCATTATTTGCTTACTCATTTTGTCCTGAAAATAGCTTTCTTAACATATATCCTAAATTGAGTACAGACGTGGGGTTTGTTTCCAGAAATTATGTCTTCTTTCACTAAGATGACGTTTAATATGAAGAAAAATGAGTAATTTTCATAACCAAAATCGAAAATCAATTAAGACCACCATAAGGATTCTGTTAGTTTTATAGAATAATTCTTTCCATAGCAAAATAAGACCTTATTATGAAAACTGGAATTTATGATAGACATTTTATTGTATACACTGCTTTATAATACAATCAGTTTCAAGTAACGGTTTGAACTTTGAGACATTTTGCTATGAAAAATTCAGTTGCTACTTTAACAAATTTAGTAATTTTTTTGATAAAGAATCTAACTTCACTTATTCTGTAGGGACTCTTCGAAAATTGTAATACAATACTTTTACAAATTAATATAACTTGATAACAATAGTTTCAAAATCCATTTGCTTAAAAGGATAATTTGTAAGTTGAATGGTTCCATCTTTGATATTTGTCCCTTTCTACTGTACTATATACTACTTATATTTGTTGACATAAGTAATATATGACACCAATCAGAAATAGAATTCAGAGCGGCAGGAGGTTAAGAAGATCGAATTGAAGAAAAATAGGAGTATAAACGGAGAGTAATATTAATAACAGCAGAAATGAAGGAACGATGAAGTTTGTAAGAGAGAATTGATGGATAATGTGCAAATAAAGTATTTAATGTATGGTTTTTTATATTTCACAAAGACATTCTGTATATAAATAGGTTTTCTTCATCAAGTCTTCATTCACTGTACTACTTACTAACCTTAATTTCACTCTATGAAGTAATCTTCAACTTAAAGATGTCCGTTTGTTAATATAATATTGTTTTACAAATCTATTATTGTATTCTAGGATTACCGTAGTTGTCAATGATACCATAATATTCTGCAGTATATTCATTCATTTATCTTAAAACAGCTTGTATTAGTGCTTTTTACTTTATGTAACAATATATACAAATAAACTTCACTTTTTCAGTCTTCGTGAAAGTTTTGGTCTCACAAATTTATACTATCTAGAATCACTTAATAACCATAATTTAAATTTATCCGGCTCACAACTGAGAACACTTCAGTATCAGTTTATCAGTGAACTGGTGTACACAACTGTGCTAAACCTCATTAGAATTAGTTAGTTTGACAAATAAATGAATTCATACTGACTTAATTCTATGTCTAATATTTTTCTAAATGCTATAAAACGATAGTATATTTTAAATAATTTATTATGGAGCTATAATTTAGTAATTAAAGCACTCGTATAACAACCAATAAATCACAGGTTCAACTCCCTTTCCTTCTAGTTTACTATACGTAGCCTAGTGATATTATAGGTTTTAAGAGCTAAACTACCAAACGAAACTGATGCATCAGTAATATTAATTAATTAAACTTCTTTGTAGTTATTTTCTAATATATCGATTTGTACATTATATGTATAAAGATTGCTATACAGTGAACTATTAAGCAAGTTAACTAAACATTATAAACTATTAGGAAGTGTCTTCAATAAATTCCATATAATTGAAAGATTGTTTTAATTGTAAATTAGCACCATCTAAAGAGCATGTTTCCCAAATTGTACATTTTCTCCAGAACCTCTGACTTATCCATAGTTATTTACTGAAAAATGACTAATATTCAGGAACCAATCAAACCAAAAGTAATAATGACAATTTGATTTTTCTTTGAAATCCAAAGCACTGTGGCCAATAGCTTATTATAAATGTTGTGGATGCGAAAGGATAGACCAATAATTATCATGTTAAGTCCAATGGTGTCCTTGGACTTTAAATGGACATTTCCTACTGGTCGATATCTGTCCACTTGTTGAATATTGTACAAAATGTTGTTTTCTATTTTTATGGTACGATGTGGTATGTTTGGTTAATATATAAATAGAGTATGTCTGAAATACAATGATTCATAACTCAGAGGCTGAGATTTGTGTTCTGGACTCAACTGGCTGGGATAGACAGGGAATCGGAACCAATCGTAACTCTAGGTCGTCCATTACGTTCGTACGTGTTCACGTGTCATTGAATCGGTCGATAAATACGCTGTTCTCTAAATTTTCAGTCAAGGACACAACAATTAGCACAGGGTAAAAATCAACCACAATTTAAAGTCACAACAATGAACGATGTAAAGATTACTAACATTCAGTTCATAATGTGATAAAATTTGGCAAACATTGGAAGACTACGAAGCGGGGGCAATGATTTGTAAATTTTCGAATGCAACTTTGACGCTCATAATATTTAAAATTTGTGAACTAACTTCATAGGTACTCATCCATATCGGGCTGCAGAGCATTTCTTTTCTTGATTTTTTTGTCATTAGTTTTAATTAATTCTAACTTCTAAGCCTAGTCGTAGTGAACAATTGTAATCCGATTTCCTAACCTTAAATCCTAAGTAAAACCTGCATCCTTTTGAGGCCTTTATCCATTTATGTCATCTTTCCATTACGTCATTTTGAGTTGTTTAAGTTTTTCATTATAAACTACCCTCACTGCTACCGACTTCAAAGTAAGCCAAATCACATGCAGTTTTATAATTTGCTAACAATATCGAGTAGAGATTGACTTACATTAGAAACTGGATGAAGTGTGAACTAGAATCCGTTAAATGTTGACAAAGTATTTGATTTTATATGAATATTCGTCAATATTTGAACAAATAGTTTGACAGAATTCGAAATGATTTCAGCTACTGAAATTTAAATTGCTAAGATCATAATTTCTACACACAGAACATAAATTTTCTTGATCTCCATGAAACCCTAATCTGCTAGGTTCGATCATGTGTAGGATCATTGGTGAGTTTTTCTTGAGGAGTTCCAAATGTAACACTGTACTGGGGATTTTCGGCTGGTAATAACATTCAGCTGATGATGAGTAGTTATAAGAATCTCACTTCTTCATCAGTCAGCAGTTTTGTACTACAAAAGTACCGATAGCCTTCCCTGAATCTCTCCAAACTAAACTCTTTGAATCTCAAAGTAACAATTTGAATTCGTCCTTCCTATAACTAAATGAAAAATTGATAATAAAGTTAATTATTCGAATAAACAAAATGGAATGGTGATTTCCTTACATCAGAACGGCTAACAAATAAAGTGATTCGATTTCCTGATATGAAAACTCTAGTAAGAATACAAACTTGAAATTAGACTATTTTGTTTGTCTATGGACATTATTATTATTATTGTTATTCTTATCGTTAGGTAGATTCTGTTTAAATTTCTGATAGTAATTTTCACTAGAAACTGATTTCAGGAAACCAACCTTTTATGAAGTAAAACATATCGGTTAGTTACATGAATTTAGCTTAAATTTATTCAAAAATATATACCCAGTGAAAGCCAGTTAATCACAAAGTTTACCTTTGAAATGTGCAAATTTTTCCAAAACACTACTTCTATTAACTATTTTATTAGAATATATCAGACAACTAATGAAAATTTGATTATGGTTGAGACTTAAAGCACAAAACAAAAGTTTGAATGTTACAAACTATTCACAGACAGAAGAAATGCGAAATACGCTAAAATATATTAGCCAATGCAGTATAAAAGGTTATCTTTGTGTTTTTTTTATCCAATTCCAAATATGAACCAATTCTGATTGGGACAAAAAATGTGCATATGAACACATAATAACAAGTAAACTGGTAGAAAAACAAAGAAAACATTGTGTATCGTCGATATTATCAGATGTTCCCTTGTCTACAGGTGAGTTGATCACAAAATTATTCTTTAATGAATACAATTTTTATTGTGAATAAGCTAACATTTACAAATTTAATATTTTGAAACTTTTAGAGTAATCACAATTAGTTAGCATGCCTTATAAACTAAAAAATATCGTTACTTCCATCCTATCAGTACTATTAATTCAAAGCAACGCTACGTACCAACAATTAAGTGATACATCAATCATCAATGAAATTCAGCCGAACGATTTTACTATTAAAACAGTAACAAGTGTACCATTATTACGTCTAGTTGACTATCTATCAAATCAAACACAAACCAAAGAAATGAAAGTCAAAAACTTCTCAATATCATCAGATTCCTTATACACTCATATATATTTTGCTTGGAAAGAAGCTAATCAATATATGTCTCCTGTAAGTATGTGAATTTAGTCAAATAAATTTTAACTATATCATTGAGTTTTACTGTTCTTTTAATTTCAATATCAGTATTGTTTTAACATTCTAACTGAATTCACAAACATTCTGAAATTGATTAAGGTCACTGAAATGATAGTTTCCTCTTACAATTTCATAACTTCCAACCGATTGAACTGAGTATTTAAAGAATTCACTAAAGAACTATAACATTATATTTACTGTTCATTTTTGACAACTGATATGGTTAGAAGTGTAAACGAATTACTTACTAGACCGAATTCAAGAAATGATAAGATGCTTTGTTGATAATTTTCATATATTTACAATAAAGAAACTCATAAGTTGATTGACTAGGATTAATCAGTCATCATTCTAATATAGTTTAATAATCCAAAGATCACGAGTTCTTTGACAATTTGTCTTCATATATTTTACAATGAAAGTAATGTCATTGGTTGATAGCCGTCGTTCCTAGACAGTGAGATTACTGATAGAGTTCTCATTTCACTTTGTTGGGCAATTAATAATCAACGTTAGTCAGATACCTATAAGCGATTCAGGTTAAGTATCATAAGTTTGATTAGTTGGAGGTTAAAGTAATCTAAAAATCAACTTGTTCAGACTAAAAATGATAATTTATCTACTCGACTGTATCATTATCAAAAAGCAACAATAGTAATTCATTGAACGAGAACATCAATGAAAAAACCAAATGTATCTTAATACAACATTACAAAATATCTTGGTAAAATCTAACAACCATACAGTAAATACTTTATTTGTAAAATGTCCATCAACTGTCTCAAACTTTATTGTTCCTTCATTTCCATACCAATCACTCTCTGTTCTCGTTCTCTTCTCTTAGATTTTTTTCAACTTTCTGCCTCTAAGCATTCCACTTTCTATTGATGATACACACTACTTATATCTGTAGACATCAGTAGAACAGACCACAATAAGAGAAAATAACCGTAGGTTTCAGATGCGTATCGAACAATAAATTCAACATCAAAATAAATAGAAAGTCAATACCGCAACAAAAAAATTTAACAGATGTATGTACAAAACTTGGTCAAAATAATCAAACCGATTATTTCATATCAATCATCATTTGTGAAGTGACTTTGTATGGAATAATTTGAATAAAGTTTCATATCTTTCCTTTTGTTTTTTTGACTTGATATTCTGCAAGAAGTTCTTCAAAATATTGATTCTTTTTAAAAATGAAACTGTTTTCACAGGTTGAAATCATGAGTCAGTTGAAGCTAGACCACCATTGAAAACCTGGAAGCACTGGACGGCCGTTTCGTCCTAGTGTGGGACTCCTCAGCAGTGCGCATCCACGACCCCGCACAACCCGGGGCTCGAACCCAGGACCTACTGACTTCGCGCTTGAGCACTTAACCATTAGACCACTGAGCCGGCATTCAACGGTGTTAATGTCTAACTTTAATCAATCCACGAAGTTGCGCTACCGTACACCATTGTTTTCAGTGAGTTCCTATCTCACAACAGACCTGGTTGAACTCCACTGGTAACGGCTTCTCACTAGAACTCCAGAAGTGTCTCCTGAAGTCAGTCACTAGTGAGCAGGTGATGTGCACTGCTGAGGAGTCCCACACTAGGACGAAACGGCCGTCCAGTGCTTCCAGGTTTTCAATGGTGGTCTAACTTCAACTGACTCATGATTTCAATCTGTGAAAATTTCTAAAATCTCCACAAAACACATTCTGATAATAATAAAACTATTTATTTTGTTTTTAGATTGCATTGAGAAATAACGGTAAAATTGATGAAATTGTTGGTGCTAATCTTGTTCTACCTGTTAATATTTTAAAAGATATGTATGCACCTGGATTAATAGCAGATATATTAGATTTTGCAATTAATTGTTATACATGGGCTAAACCAATAGGCAATCAAAAATCTTACTCTAATCCAACAGGATACATTTCTATTTTAAGAGGAGCTGACAATGCAAAAATTAATCAAGAATTAATTAAAGAAACTACAAAATATTTTTTAATTTCTTCTCAAACTGATGCATATCATTTTGTTTGGGAAAATTCTTCACCAGAAGTAAGTAACTATGATTGATAAATTTGTTAATCAAGATCTCATTATTGTCTTTTATTTTATGAATGGATACTCCTTAGAAAATTCTAATTCATTATAACATAGATATTGTATACATGACTGACAAATGAAATAATATTTAACTAATAAATTTGGAATAGTTTTGGATATTTTCACAGAATTTTAACATTTCAATTCATGGAGTGATAAGAATTACTTCAAACTAACTTTTAATATGAAATGAAGAAGTGGATAAATTAGGTATATGCATTGAGAACTACCAAAAATATGATTAATTAAAAGAGGTAAACTAATGCTGTCGTAACAAACACTTATTGATACAGACTATTACGAATGTTTTACGCTCTGAAATATAGAATGCTTTGTGATTAAGTATTCGAAATTAATATTGATCTTCAATGTGTTTTCTGATCGTCCAACTTACGTCGGTTCGTAATCCGAATAACATTCAACGATCTCCACAAATCCCCATACTGAATATACGTTCCAACTATCTTTAAGTCCTACATTTTAACCTTGAAGTACATATTTGTATCATCCTTTCATCCTCATTATTTTCGATGATGATCAATACTAAAATTAGCTTTACATTGATATTAATAACATTATTTTCATTAATTGTAATTATAACACCTATATTCTTAATATTACTAATCCATAATTAGTAGATGTTTTGAAATACTTTTATTGCTATTGTTTTCTACTAGCGCGTATGAGGAGGATTTAATAGCCAAAACAATTATCACCACTCATACGTTTCCTATGACTTATGACTAAATTATTTTTCAGAACTTTGACCTGTTATATTCATGAACATTTGGTCATTGTTTTTATAGAGTGCAAAAACACTTGATTGTTTATACAAAGATCTCCCGAAAACTAATAATTTCCACAGAAGCTATTAGTGTTAATTTGAATTATTTATCAATTATGTAAGTTTATGAATTTAACTTTTATCAGTACTATTTGTGTGAAAACTAATAATACAAACTCACTACCAAAGCCTGCACTGTAAATGTTAAAGATTTAACCCTATTAAAAATTCAATATGATTGAAATGATTTATTTCATTATTTATTCATTATCATGTATATTGTTTATTATTCTTAATCTAATTATAATTATTCACATTTTTATACTTTTATTTTAGCAAGCAAAATTCATGGCATCTTTAAAGTATACTCAAATTATATGCGGTGATAAACAAACTAAAACAAACCCATGTAATTGGGAAAAACTTGGTATGGATAAATCATTTGCTAAACAACAATGTCTTTATAGAACAATTAACAGTGATTAATAGAAATAATAAATAATTAAGTTGATCATATTTTTAGTTTATATTTGTATATGCAGTGGTTCTGCATTCTATTTAAAATATTTACACCATTTCATTTAGCTTTACTGAACAATTTCAATATGACCATTTCTGTTGTGTTTTTATTTGATTTAAAAAAAAATACAAAAATATGCATTAGTGAAACTGTTTTACTCATAGCTATTTGATTGAAATTATTTAAAGAATAAAATGTCAACTAAGAATCAAATTGTAATAATAATCATTAAATGAGACTAACCAATTGCGGTCCTAAATAACAATGTGAAAATTCAAGTAAAACAACACCAAGTGAATTAAAATTTCATCCCATTGCACAAACAAGTGGCTATCAGGACTCAGTAGCTAAGTGGATAACGCAATGGCGTCTGAAGGGGACGGTACTAGGTTCGAATTCTGAAGTGAACATCAACTCTGCGATGCAGATACATCCACCTGACGAGTCCCAAATGGAACGAAATGGGCGTTCTAGATTTCACTGCTAGCCACTATCCATCTTTGCTTAAAAAGCTTGTGACTTAAAGCTATACGAAGCAATCCACACATGATGCACATATTCCAACATGAGACTGGTCAGTTGTAGTCCTAAATAACAATGGGAAGACACAAGTAAAACAACACCAAGTAAATAACTAATTGTTGTTTGTAAAGTGCAGACTACTTTGTCCAATCACCAAATAGAAATAAACGACATAGCATGAATTTATTCAAAGTGTAGTTCTTTTAAATAAATACTATTTATGCGTTAACAATTGGACGAATACCTGGTGATATCGTAAGTAGCCAACAAAATTGATAGAATGATTGAGAACAACAAAGTAAATTTCCATATATCGAATTACTTATGAAATAACTTACCACTCAATTGTATAAATTAAAGCTACAATTTACGTTATGTTTCAAACAAAACAGTATGATTACTAGTTACTTATGTGATACTAAATTAGAAATTGAGAATGAAAATAGTAATCGCAAAACAACATACTATGTCTAAATTTTAGTTCATTGTAATAATATAGTAGTTTTGATCATTGGAATCGTTAATCATCACTCCACTATGTGATTCATTCACTAAAGTAACTTCAGTTTGTTTTTCTTATTCTTGAATATTTTGTAAAACTGATACCTATAAACTCATTAAAAAATTTTTCAATGTTTACGACATCTTCATTAACTCAAGCAACCACATGTTTGGCAGATTTTCTCTGTTATATCTTTTCGTTATATCGATAATGTACTTGTAATGCTAAATTGAGAGAAAATATTAAGCTAAACCACCATGATAAATCTGGAACCACTGGATGACCATTTCGTCCTAGTATGGTACCCCTCAGCAGTGCGCATTCACGATCCCAACCGCGAGACTCGAACCAAAAGCTTTTGATCTCGCGCGCGAATGCTTAAGCTCTAGATCATTGAGGCAGTATCTCACGGCGTTAATGTCCAACTTCAACCAATCCACGAAATTGCGCCACCGTCCACTAGTGTCTTCAGTGAGTTGCTGACTCATAACAGACACGGTTGAGCTTCACTGTCCACGGCTTCTCACTAGAACTCCACAAAATTATCTTTCTGAAAAAAATATTAGTTTGGGAAATCAGAAGTAAAATGCTGAATGGCATAGAAATATTGGTCTGAAAAACATCTACATAGGCCTATACTTTATTATAATACAAATGAATGATTTGCAGTAGAGATGGATGGTGGTTATTACTGAAATTCAAGACTCGCTTTTCGTCCTATTTGAAAATCATTATCTGGATGTATCCGCATCCTTGCATCAAACGCAGTCTTAAACATCAATGGTAAGATCCGAACAACCAATTTGCATTAATTGTAAATGAATAAAGTCAATTCACGTTTTAGCATTTACCGTGACCAGTCTGATCCGAGTTTCTCTCGAAAAAATTAAATAAGTCCAAAAGTTGTAGGTTTAAAATGGAATAAAAATACAATAATGTTTGAAAAAAATTATATTCAGTTTGTCTTACTATATTTCGTATACAACGTTTGTCAGAAAATTCTTCAACCTGGCGAAAATTCATGTAAATAATTAAGTTATTATTACCTACATTACTTATGCGAATACAAATGAAAAAAAACCAGTTGCTTACAATAGATACATAGAAATTCACAATTACCAACAGTGAACTAGTCTAGAAACAGTCATAAACTTACGACCGAAAATTACGTTATTAGAAATAAATAATACTATGAAAACTATCTATCCTAAAAAGATTACATTTCAAAGGGTTAAACCACATAAACTATGGGAAATATACTAACAGTTCACAACTTTCTATAAATAATGCTGAGTCATTATTATAGTGAACTGGAAAACGATAAATCAAGGTGAAAATGGTTTCATAAACAGAAGGTAGAGTATAAACAACATTAACCTATACAGTCACCTTATACTCATAGTGTCAGAATATCAGTTCAAATAAATTCATATGCATAACCTGACAACACGCCAGTTTCTCATCCCCACCCTTTACCAAATTATTCAGGTTGTCTGAAATTCAGAGTAGATGAAAAAATTGCTTTTAGTATCATTGAGCCAATAATGTCCAAGTGACTAACAAGTCCAATTATGAGTACAAGTGGAAAGGAACTGGTATCAAGCATATGGCACGAAAAAATAATCCTACTATAACAATAGAATATCTTAAGATGATTCATAAAATAGATTGTTCTGCGCAATTTATCACAAATAAACATTTCACGAAATACTAAAACAATGAATGCGACAATTTATAACTGTAGTAATTTGCTACTGAACTACTTATCAATTGTGAAGTAGTGTGATATTTCCAATAAAATATATATGGATTGACTTGATATTTTTTTATACGAATCTTCCCATTGATGTTTAAGATCAGTCTCTTATTGGCATATGTGCAACTTGTGAGGATTAACTCGATATTGCCTAAAGTCACAATCATTATAAAAAAATATGGATAGCGTCTAGTAGTGGAATTAAGGACGCGCGTTGCCTCTTATTTGGGACTCGTCATCTGAATGTATCTGCATCGCAGAGTTGATGTTCACTGCGTGACTGGAATCCATTACAGTTCACTTTAAACGCCATTGCATTGTTCACTTAGCTGCTGAGTCCTGATAGCTACTTGTTTGTGGAATGAGGTGAACTTTAATACGTACAGTATCCACATATGCCAACAAGTGACTGATCAATTGCAGTCCTAAACATCAATTGGAAGATTCGATCAAACTATACCAAAAGAATTTAAAATTCACCCCATTGCACAAACAAGTGGCTACTAGGACTCATTAACCAAGTGGATAACGCAATAGAGTTTAAAGCAAACGGTGCTGGGTTCCAGCTACGCAGAAAACATTATCTCTGGGATGCAGATACATTCAGATAACGAGTCCCAAATGGGACGGAACGCGCGTCCTGAATTCCACTTCCAGTCACTATCTATCTTTGCTTTTAATATGTCTGAGTTCTAACTCATTGCTATTTGAAACCTTAAATCCTATCTTAAAAAAGGTTAACTGTTCCCAGATAATCAAACTTATGTTGAAATCAATATTAGACATATAGTCTGCATATTTGCCAATGTACGATTGATATGTTTCGTCCTAGATACTTGATTTACTTTCTAAGACAATTCACATAGAAAATACTGTTTCTAGCTTTTTCTAAAAGTACCTAGTAATATGACAATAGTTTTTCGTAAACAGTTAGACCATTTTCTAAATTTTGATAGAACGATGAGAAGTTGATTTGGTCAAGTATATACTTATCAACGTATTTCTATGCATGAATAACTGATAAACCTCAATTAAATAAAAGTTCAAATAAACATGAAGTGAAAATTGGAAATAACAAGAAAAATTAATGTATACTTCTTTCTGTATTATAGAAAGTTTGTTTCTTTTTTTCTATTTTTGTAATTATCACTTTATATTCATCTGAACAGATCCAGATGTAATATCAAAACTTTATTCCTTTTTGAAAGAAAGGGATGAAACGAAAAAACACAGAAAACTTACTATTCTCTGATACTACATTAAAAGTCTTTAGAATAAAGATTATACCTCAGTTTATTAGTGAAGTTACATGAATTTTCAAAATATGAACGTTGTCATAACTAAACTTTTTAAAAGAATCCTCCTTCATACTGTTATTTTATACTTTTAATCTACATAGTATATATATATATATATATATATATTACTAGTCTCTTACGTTATTCATGTCTGATCAAAAGTTTTGTCTATTCACTTCATGATTGTAAAACAGGCGACAAGCAAAAAGTTATGGAGCGATTGTATTAAGTATTGGAACTCGGTAACACGACTCAGAATAATGTAATTCCGTTTTTGTGCTATTTAAAATTACTGATGGATAGACGCAAACGTGCTATCATACATCCATGTATAAAACACAGTCAGGGCTGCATGTAATTGACAAAAACATAATATGGATATCAGAATAATTTGAAAGATCAGAATAATGCATCCATTCAAATGTTACAATAAATCACGTAGGTGTGTAACAATAGTAATGGCTACAGACTGACTTCGATATACTTATCCAGCTCATCCAAGCTAGAAATCATGCAATACATACCGACCCTTAAACCAACAACACAAACATTGAAATGCATCTTCCTGTTTTGACTTTTTTTAATTAAGTGTTTATGTTTGTACATCGGATAGTGTACTCATCGGCTTATGTAAAAAATTGACATTTCGCAATGCTTAATATTAAAAACATTCAGGAGGAACGATAAACGCGTTAGACATATATATATCCACTCTTGGCTATTGTTTGGTGAAAAAATGCTATTGAGATTCATTCATCAGAAATATCATTTGAAACAAAATGCTGTACATGCGGAATTGGTGGAAAAAGCTAACTGATGAAGATAAATGACGGGTAACCATTGTTAAAAATAGTTTACTTATACATACCTTTACATAAAAACAAGTTA